GAGCAGCACGCCCCCAAATGGCCGCGCGGCCGTCTCGCTGCGCCTTTCGCAGCGCAGCAAACTCTCTTATCCACTCTTTTGGGGTTTTTGCCTTTGCCTGCAGCAGCAGCAAAAACAGAAAAGGCGAATAATGCTGCAGCAAATAAATGCAAATAGATAAAACGAAGCAGCAAACCCAAAAACGAGACACAAGGGGCTTTGAGGGCCCCACAAGGGGCCCCCAAGGCCCCCGTGGGGCCCCACAAAGCCCCCTAGGGGCCCCTAAACCTTGTGGGGGCCCCCATGGACCCCACAAGGCTTGGGGGCCCTTTAGAACCTCTTTGGAGGCCCTTTAGGGCCCCTTCAAGTACCCTTTGGGGGCCCTTTTAAGGCCCTTTGAAGCCTCTTTGGGGGCCCTCTAGGGGCCCTTTAGGGGCCCCTTAAATGCCCTTTAGGGGCCCTTTAGGGGCCCTTTGAATGCCCTTTAGGGCCCCTTTAGAGGCCCCTTAAATGCCTTTGAGGGCCCCTTTGGGGGCCCTTTAAGGGTCTCTTTAGGGGCCCCCTAGGGCCCGTAAGGGGCCCCTGAAATACCCTTTAGGGCCTCTTTGGGGGGCCCCTTAGGGGCCCCTTAAATGTCCTTTAGGAACCCCTAAAATACCCTTTAGGTCTTCTTTCGGGGCCTTTTAGGGGCCCCTTAAATGCCCTTTAGGGGCCCCTAAAGTACCCTTTAGGGGTTCTTTGGGGGCCCCTTAGGGGCCCCTTAAATGCCCTTTAGGGGCCTCTTTAATACCCCTTAGGGCCGCTTTGGGGGCACCTTAGAGGCCACTTAAATGCTGTTTAGGGGCCCCCTTAGGGGCCCCTTTAGTACTCTTTAGGGCCTCTTTGGGGGCCCCCAAAAGTCATTTTATTTTGAAGACAACAACCTACAAGGGCCGCTTTTGCTTCAGCTGCAGCAGCGCGACTTGGGGACACCAGGGCCTGCAGCAGAAAAATAAAAAAGAAAATTAAAAAAAGAAAAGAAATCAATTCAAGAGACAACAAGAACTGCTGCTGCTTCCGCTGCTGCTGTTGCTGCTGTTGCTGCTGCTGCTGCTGCTGTAGTAGCAGCCCGCTCTCGTGCTGCTGTCTGCGCAAGGCTCTACTGGGCCACTGCTGTGGGAGGGGCGCCTCTGGGGGCCCCTCTAGGGGGCCCCTCTGGTGGCCCCTCTAGGGCCTCTGGGGGCCCCTCTAGGGCCTCTGGGGGCCCCTCAGGGGGGCCCTCTGGGGGGCCCCTCTGGGGGCCCTTCCGGGGGCCCCCCCGAGGGTATTTAGTGGGGCGTACCTGTGGGGTGTACGTACAGCTCGTGGGGCAGTCGTTGGCTTGCAAATGGGCCTCGAGGACTTTTGCTGCTGCTGCTGCTCCTGCAGTGCGTCTGGCGAGGCTGCTGAGGGGTCTCCGCAGCTTGGGAGCAGCAGCAGAAGACGCGCTGCTGGCAGCAGCAGCAGCAGCAGGAGCAAAAGGAGAAAAGGAATTTGAAGAGACACAACAAGCAGCAGAAGCCCAAGGAGTACGTACACCCGAAAGCCGGCAGCCTTCTACAGCCCGTAGCGCCGCCTCAAGCACTCCAGCGCACAGCTCAGGCAGCAACCCTTGCTGCTGCTGCTGCTGCTGCTGCTGCTGCTGTTGCTGTTGCTGTTGCTGCTGTTGCTGCTGCTGCTGCTGCTGCTGTTGACGCTGCTGCTGCTGCAG